TCGTATTTTTTCAGCTCTTTTTTATAAAAAATAGCTGCTTTTCATTTGCTCCTTCCTATAAAGCTTTTATACTGGTTCCTATATAAGATTAGTAAGCTCGTTTAATTACAATATTAATAAGACGACCCGTTCGAAGAGCATTTTGATTTTTCGTAAAAAATAATAAAAATAATTTATGATTTTTTGATTTTTTATATCGATTCGTAATAGGGCTGTATATAGCGTATTCCTTTTAATTGATTTGTTTCGAATCAAAATTAAAGGCTCAAAAAGCTACAGATTTATAAGAAAAGTGCAAGACTATAAAAGCTTTTTATTTTTTTATTCGCTGAATTATTGAATTTTCATTTAATAAACAATACGCGAATTCGAATTTGCTCTTCCTTAGCGTGCGGTTATTTATTATTTAGAATTCAAATATAAATTTAATAAAAGCAAATTACTTATACTAGCTCCTTAGCGAGGAGCATTTTCACTTGAAAATTGTATTTAAAATCGTATTTTTTCAAGTTTTTTAAATAAAAAATAGCTGCTTTTCATTTGCTCCTTCTTATAACGCTTTTATAATAGTTGTAATATAAGAAATTTAAGCTAGTTTAATTACAATACTGCTAGGACGACCCGTTCGAAGAGCATTTTGATTTTTTTTAAAAAATAATAAAAATAATTTGTGATTTTTTGATTTCTTAAATCAATTCGTAATAAACCTTAATTCTGCTTATTCGTTTTAATTGATTTGTTTCGAATCAAATACAGAAGATCAAAAAGCTATAGCTTTATTAAAAAGAAGCAAAAGCGTAAGAGATTTTTATTTTTTTATTTAATGAATTATTAAATATACATATAATAAATACTACGCGAATTTAAATTTGCTCCTCTTTAGCGTGCGGCTATATAATATTTTGACTTCGAATATAAGTTCAATTAAAGCAAGTTACTTATAATAGCTCCTTAGCGAGGAGCATTTTTACTTGAAAATTGTATTTAAAATCGCATTTTTTCAGCTTTTTTTAATAAAAAATAGCTGGTTTTCATTTGCTCTTTCTTATAACGCTTTTATAATAGTTTTAATATAAGATAAATAAGCTCGTATAATTACAATATTAATAAGACTACCCGTTCGAAGAGCATGTCGATTTTTATAAAAAAATAATAAAAATAATTTTTGATTTTTTGATTTTTAATATCGATTCGTAATAAAACTGTATTTTGCTTATTCCTTTTAATTGATTTGTTTCGAATGAAAAACAAAAGTCTAAAAAGCTATAGATTTATAAGAAAAATTCAAGAGCATAAAAGATTTTTATTTTTTTATTTAATGAAATATTAAATATTCACTTAATAAATACTACGCGAATTCAAATTTGCTCCTCTTTAGCGTGCGGCTATATAATATTTCGAGTTCGAATATAAGATCAATAAAAGCAAATTAATTATACTAGCTCTTTAGCGAAGAGCATTTTCACTTGAAAATTGTATTAAAAATGGTTTTTTTTCAGGTTTTTTTTATATAAAATAGCTGCTTGTCATTTGCTCCTTCTTATAACGCTTTTATACTAGTTCCAATATAAGATCAATAAGCTCGTTTAATTACAATATTAATAAGACGACCCGTTCGAAGAGCATTTTGATTTTTCTTATAAAATAAAAAAATAATTTTTTATTTTTTGATTTTTTATATCGATTCGTAATAAAGCTGTATTTTGCTTATTCCTTTTAATTGATTTGTTTCGAATCAAAAACAAAAGCTTAAAAAGCTACAGATTTATAAGAAAAGTGCAAGAGTATAAAAGATTTTAATTTTCTTATTTATTAAATTATTAAATATGCATATAATAAATACTACGCGAATTCAAATTTGCTCCTTCTAAGCGTGCTGCTATATAATATTTCGAGTTCGAATATAAATTTAATAAAAACAAATTACTTATACTAGCTCCTTAGCGAAGAGCATTTTTATTTGAAAATTGTATTTAAACTCGTATTTTTTCAGGTTTTTTTAATAAAAAATAGCTGCTTTTCATTTGCTCCTTCTTATAACGCTTTTATAATAGTTCCAATATAACACTATTAAGCTCGTTTAATTACAATACTGCTAGGGCGACCCGTTCGAAGAGCATTTTGATTTTTCGTAAAAAATAATAAAAATAATTTTTTATTTTTTGATTTTTTATATCGATTCGTAATAAAGCTGTATTTTGCTTATTCCTTTTAATTGATTCGTTTTAAATCAAAAATAGAAGCATAAAAAGCTATAGTTTTATAAGAAAAGTGCAAGAGTATAAAAGGTTTCTATTTTTATAAGCGCTAAATTATTAAATATTCATTTGATAATTACTACGCTAATTCAAATTTGCTCCTTCTTAGCGTACGGCTATATAATATTCCGAGTTCGAATATAAGTTCAATTAAAGCAAGTTACTTATACTAGCTCTTTAGCGAAAAGCATTTTCACTTGAAAATTGTATTTAAACCGTATTTTTTCAGGTTTTTTTAATAAAAAATAGCTGCTTTTCATTTGCTCCTTTTTATAACGCTTTTATAATAGTTCTCATATAAGATCAATAAGCTAGTTTAATTACAATACTGCTAGGACGACCCGTTCGAAGAGCATTTTGATTTTTTTTAAAAAATAATAAAAATAATTTATGATTTTTTGATTTTTTATATCGATTCGTAATAAAGCTGTATTTTGCTTATTCCTTTTAATTGATTTGTTTCGAATCAAAAACAAAAGCTTAAAAAGCTATAGCTTTATTAAAAAGAAGCAAAAGCGTAAGAGATTTTAATTTTTTTATTCGCTGAATTATTAAATTTTCACTTAATAAATACTACGCTAATTCGAATTTGCTCTTTCTTAGCGTGCGGCTATATAATATTTCGAGTTCGAATATAAGTTCAATTAAAGCAAGTTACTTATACTAGCTCTTTAGCGAGGAGCATTTCCACTTGAAAATTGTATTTAAAATCGTATTTTTTCAGCTCTTTTTTATAAAAAATAGCTGCTTTTCATTTGCTCTTTCCTATAACGCTTTTATACTGGTTCCAATATAAGATCAATAAGGTCGTTTAATTACAATATTAATAAGACGACCCGTTCGAAGAGCATTTTGATTTTTCGTAAAAAATAATAAAAATAATTTTTTTTTTTTAATTTTTTAAATCGATTCGTGATAAAGCTGTATTTTCCTTATTCCTTTTAATTGATTCGTTTTAGATCCAAAATCGAAGCTTCAAAAGCTATAGATTTATAAGGAAAGTGCAAGAGTATATAATCTTTTTATTTTTTATTCGCTGAATTATTAAATATGCACTTAATAAATACTACGCGAATTCGAATTTGCTCCTCTTTAGCGTGCGGCTATATAATATTCTGAGTTCGAATATAAGTTCAATTAAAGCAAGTTACTTACACAAGCTCTTTAGCGAGGAGCATTTTCATTTGAAAATTATATTAATAATCGCATTTTTTCAGCTTTTTTAAATAAAAAATAGCTGGTTTTCATTTGCTCCTTCTTATAACGCTTTTATAATAGTTCTAATATAAAAGTATTAAGCTCGTTTAATTACAATATTAATAAGACGACCCGTTCGAAGAGCATTTTGATTTTTCGTAAAAAATAATAAAAATAATTTTTTATTTTTTGATTTTTTATATCGATTCGTAATAAAGCTGTATTTTGCTTATTCCTTTTAATTGATTCGTTTTAGATCAAAAATCGAAGCATAAAAAGCTATAGTTTTATAAGAAAAGTGCAAGAGTATAAAAGGTTTCTATTTTTATAAGCGCTAAATTATTAAATATTCATTTAATAATTACTACGTTAATTTAAATTTGCTCCTTCTTAACGTACGGCTATATAATATTCCGAGTTCGAATATAAGTTCAATTAAAGCAAGTTACTTATACTAGCTCCTTAGCGAAGAGCATTTTCACTTGAAAATTGTATTTAAACTCGTATTTTTTCAAGTTTTTTAAATAAAAAATAGCTGCTTTTCATTTGCTCCTTCTTATAACGCTTTTATAATAGTTCCAATATAAAAGTATTAAGCTAGTGTAAACACCTTGCCTGATGGGGTACCTGCTATGGCCACTAGGGCCACACTAGACGGACCCATCTTTTATAAGAAAGCACACATCTTCTAGCTAGAACAATCAACGAGCTTTCCACCCACCTTTTCTGACACCTCTTTTATGAGACTATAAGGTCTAGCCTCAAAGCTAAGCTTTTATACAGTATATCTTTTAGGGTGCTTCTACATTAGTGACTTACGCAAGGATTCAAACCTTTAGTCTTTATCCTTATACAGCTTATTACAATCGCTTGATTCGCAGTCAAGTTGATCTTCGTTCATTCAGTACTTTACTTTACAACTACGACTTTAAAACAATCAAAACCTTATTCCCGATAGGTTCGGACATCGAAACGCCGAAATGGCCGAAGTGCAATATTTCGGCTCCCCGGCAAAAACTTTCTTTTATTATCAATAAGAAAGAATTTTCATTCATTAATGAAAATATCCTTTTATACCTTAGCTCTTATCTTAAATTAAAGCAATTGATATGGTCCGGAGTTGTTAGCGAAGCTAATCAATTGATTTTTAAGTTTTTTATAGTTCTGATCTTGTCTATTAGTTTACCTTTGCAAAAAGTCTACTCCTTCTAATCTCGGATCGAAAATACTTTGCGAAAATCGCTTATTTTACTCGTGAACCCGGTTTACGAGTCAAAATCAAACAATTCAAAAACCTTTTATCAACCCGATCATTCTTAGCACACACACATATCTGATTCTTAAAATACCGAAAACCTTTTTAAGATTTCTAATATCGAAGTCGGCGCCGCGTCACCTCTTTCTTCGTCAGAATCCTTTGAATTTGTTAAATCCTTTGGTCGTATTCTTGTAAGCTTCGGACCAGCCTTATCTTACTTCGACCTTTAACCAAAACCCTTACTTTTACTTCCATCGGAAATACTTGCTTCGAAAATGCCTTTTAAAATGAACACCGGTCTTAAGATCTATACCACTCTTCTTCCTCCTGCCCTTCTTGCTCTTCCACCAAGCCTTGCGCTAGTTATAATCGACCTTGCTATCCTTTACGCTTTTATAACTACTCGCATGCCATTACTAGGTGCCCCAAGAGCTCCTTGCTTTAATAATGCCAATATCACCGATTTCATCGAAAAGTACGAAGAGACTTGTAAGGACTTTAGTATCCTTTAAGACGATCGGTTTGTTAAACTCCTTCGTTATTGCGATAACCCTCGCAAAGAGGTTATCAAGAGCTTGCTCGAATAGAAAGCTAAGAAAGATTAGGCTGCTTTCGTCAAAGCCTTAAAAGCCGAGTTTCGTAAAAACGATACTTAGCAGATCAAAGACTCAATCGCTTTTTTGCGGGAATTTGCTATACAAAAACGGGATATCAATGACTTGAAAAACTATTATCGCACCTTCTCTCGGGTCTTCGAAAGACTTACCTTAATACACTTCTTAAGCAAGACCGAACAAGGCCGCTTATTCTTTCTCGGATTGCCCGTCGGAATCCGAAACAAAACGATTAAGTATTATAAGGTCGACGAACTCGACTTAGACTTTTATGCCGCCTTCGACGACTTCGTCGCATTCGTTCTTAAGACCGACCAAAGTGCTAAAATTATCGAAGCTATGAATCGAAAGAAGTCTCTTTTAGCCAACTTTACTAAAGATATTCGGACCTTAGTTAAAGAACACACCGAGCTAGCCAGCGTTCTTGAGTCTGTTAAGAAAGCCCTAGTAGTAATGCCGTTCACTCGTGAACCATAGTTCACGAATAAAAAAAAAAGAATTAACAAGGTAAGTTCTATGATTAAAAAGTTTTTTAATTTGCAGATCGATGCGATTTATAATCGAATTGATTACTTCGAAGACCAAGTCGCTAACTTAACTTCTTGACGTCCTGTCTAGTCTTAGCCTCAAGTTCGATTCGAAGACTACGACGAAGCCCTTATCAAGTATACCGCTCAAGATGCCCGAAGTAAAGTCAGCTTCGGAAGTGGAGTTCAGATTGCTGCTGTCGGCTACGGACCACAAAGACGAAGAAGAAGAAGAGGTAAAAGATACGGGAACCAGATGCAAGACTATAGCTTTTGCGAGAACTCCGAAGACACAACTCAAGCTCTTTATTAATACCGGGATAAGTGTAAGGCTTTTAAGGACATGGTCAATAAAAGATGTATTCACATTAGTAATTACGGACGCCTTTGCTTAAGACTTAAAAGGATCGGTGCTTTTATTATCTAGAAAAAGCAAAAAAAGACTTGGTTCAGATCTATCGTACTAGACGTTCGTAAGACGGAATACGACAATATCCTAGAGAATCGGCTTATTAGCGGACCTAAAACCTATAAACACTTACTCTCTTATTAACAACCAATCCAACAGCTAGCTTAATATCAGCCCGATCAAAATGTTCAGCAACCAACTAACCAGCCAAGAAAGCTTACTACTATTCTTAAAAGACCAGTCGATACCAAAAATATCAATGCTATTAGATAGATCAACACGCTTAGCCACTTATTTAACATAAAGGTTGCTTCGGTCGAGATCAACGCCGCCGCAAAAGACAAAGCCAAAAAGCCTTTCCAGCCTTCGGAAGGATCCAAGCCTATTAAGATCAAGAAGAATGTCCGACAACAAAAGGAAAAGAACTACGGCACCCTTAGAGCCCGTGCTTCTCAAGAATCGGGTACTGCTGTAAAAATAGACTCGGAGAATAAGCTGTTCGATGGTTTAATTAAAGAAGAGTCTTCTAGACCTTCTAGACTAACTAGAGCCGACGAAGCTATAAAGGATGTAGAAAAAGAAGTTAAGATCACTCAGCGAGTACTAAGAGGAAAAAAGAAAAGGACCTACAGACGAGAGAAGTTTATTGACCCTTACGTTACTACTAAAGCTTAAAAAAAAGCAGTGGCGGCGATTATGAAATCGAAAATCGAAGTCCAAATTAAAGACCTGTTCGGACTCAGCTCTCGCTTCGACAAGCTATTAAGCCACCATATTCTAATGGTCCCCGATACTAAGGAAAACGTAAAGGTCTTTTAAAGTAAGCCTATTCTTATGAACGCCTCAACTATTAAACGTCTAAGTCGGAATAAAAAAAGCAAGCTAGACCTTCTAGCGACGCAAATCCGCAAACAACCCATCGCTCGCAACTGCCTCGAAGTGGCGAGAAAGACCTTAAAGGTTTTCATTAATATCGACGGTATAATCAAAAGCAGATCCTTCTTCGATAATAGATCTAAGGTCAACGTAATAAACAAAGAGGTAGCTAAGATAGCCAAACTACTTATTATAACGGATCGAGCTTTGATTTACACCATCGTGTCCGAAGATCTCTATAACTTCGATAGATAAATAAACGACGTCGAAGTTATTATCAGCGGAATCACTAACTACGCCGATTTCTTTATCATTAACAATAATAATCACGAAGTCATCTTAAGCATGCCTTTCTTCTTAGAATCCCAACTCTCTTTTTCTTACTCCGATAATAACATAATGAAAGCCTCTTTTTAAAACCACGATCGATCTACTTAAAGCCAGATTATTATTACAAAAGACAAGTCGGATTTGGTCGAAGACCCGAGAAACTAATCGCTAGCATACAAGCTAAGATAGATGCTAAGCTAAAAAGAAGCTTAAAAAGAAATTCCGCCCGTAAATTATAATTCACGAGTAGATCGGTACAAAAACAATAAAATCATAAAAAAACAATTCAACTCAATATTAAGCAAAGCTTATTAAAATCAAAAACATTAAAAATATTTGTAATCAAACTCGACAAATCAAAAAATTTCATATTTATTATCGATAACGATAAAGACCTTTTAAAAAGGAATATAATAGAAGTTAATACGATGTACAAAAGGAAAGCGGAGAAGGTTAGACCGGTGGATTTAAAAGTATCGGATAGAAAGATACTTAAAAAGATCGACGATTAATTCGAGCAAAATAAGAAAGCGAAACCCCTTAAGCTTAAAAGACCTTTTTCGAAATACTTTATTAACAAGTTTTCAAACTTAAAAGTTAGATCAAGATTGACGAAAAAACGATTCGAAGCACTCACGATTAGCTCTCAAGTCACCCCGAAAGAAAGAGAGCTGCTTTACTAATACCTTTTAAATCGAAAAGAAGCGATAGCCTAAGATTTTACTTATCTTGGCCAAGTCCGGAAGGAAGTCATGCCGCCTTAAAAGATCAAGACGGTGCCTTACGAAGCTTAGCAAAAGAAGACGTTTACGGTACCGAAAGCTTTGCAAAAGATAGTTATCTTTATGTTAAAAAAACGATTAAAGCAAAGGGTCCTCGAACTATACCAAGGCCCTTACCGGAACAAATAGTTTATTATAACGAAGAAAAAGAAAGGAAAATACAAGCTGATCACTGTTGTAATTAAAATGAACCGTGTAACGGTCAAGGACGCTAATGTTGCCCCGAACGTAAACTAGTTCTCGAACGAATTTGCCGGTCTTACGATAGCTACACTCTTAGATTTCTTCTTTAAATACGATCAATTCTTTTTCGACGTTAAGTTTAAAAACATAACAGCTATTCAAACGCTTATCGAACTGCTTCGGATAATCCGGATACTTATAAGAGCTATTAATTCGATCGCCTAATTCGTTAAAGTTATCTATAAGATCTTTATAGACTGCATTTCTAACGTCTGCTTGCTTTACATAAATAACGTAAGAGTCAAAAGATCGCGATCCTTTTACAATTACGAAGAAGTTTTGCTCGGAATTCGACGATTCGTCTTGAAGCACATCTAAAATATCGACAAAGTGCTCGTGAGGTTTAAAAGAGCTAAGACGACCGTCGAAACGAAATCCTAATACTGCATACCTAGCCTTAACATCGTTAGATTCGTCATAGATAACGAAGAACGCTACCCTTAGACCGCCAAAATTAAAAAGATACTAGAATAGACTAAGTGCGAAAACGTATCAGAAGCCCGAGCTTTTATTAGCATCGTAGTTTACTACAGAATCTAGATCAAAAACTTCTTTACGATTGCTGCCTTAATCTACGCGACGATAAAAAAAAAGGTCGAATTCGAGTAGTTAAAGCCTTAGCAAAAAGCGATAAGGCTGCTCAAAGAAGCTTTGCTCTCTGCTCCCGCTCTTATCAAGATCGATTATAGCAAGGACGGAAAAAAAATTTACTTGACGGTAAACGCTAATCTCAAAAGATAAAGAGCAATATTACAGCAAAAGGATTCCGACAAAAAGCGACATCTTGCTAGGTTCGAGAGTGGTCTTTAAAACCTTACGAAGAGCAAGTACGACGCGACCAAGCGAAAATGCCGCGGTGCTTTAAAAGCTATGAAAAAGATAAAGAGCGAACTATACGAAGTTCATTTCATCTTAAAAACCGACGCCAAAGTACTAATTGATCAACTTAACGGATCAACAAGCGACTTACTTAAAGCCTTCGTTACGAACTAGATTGCGTAAATAAGATTGATAAACTTTAAAGTCAAGCATATCCTTAAGACTAAAAACACGGCGGCGGACGGTCTCTTTAAGAAAGGAAAAGAGCATCCTTTAGACATCAAAAAAAGAGAGGAAGAAGATATTAACGATTAAGTCACTAACGAGCTAAGCACTATTTCAGTATTCTCGGTTAAACGACTCGTAAACTATAGTTCACGAGCCAAAAAAAGAGTTTTAAAGCACGACTACTCGCTCGACTCCGAGCTTATTGCTTAATTCCTTACCACCCTTAAACGCCTTCCTTCGATCAAGACTTACGACTTCTAGAAATTCAAGAACAAAGCATTCAACTACTTAGTTAAAGATAATTACCTTTACAAGCGAGCAGACAATTCCTATCCGATCAAGCTGGTTGTCGACGGAACTTAAAAACGCTACACTGCTATTTCCGACGCTTACCGAGAATCCGGACATAAAAGAGCTAAGTCAACTTATCACCGCACGTTAAAACTCTTCTTTTAGAATAGATGCTACGAGGATTGCAAGGCCTTCGTCTAAAGCTATAAGCCCTGTCAAAAGCGCAAAGCTAGACGAACAGAAAACCCTTTGTACCCGACTTAGCTTACTCAAATGTGGTCAAAAGTTAGCTTAAACGTATTACGAGTTCTTACTATCGACAAAAGAATGACTTGCTTCGTATTAGCTAAAAAAGATCTATTTAAATAGCCGGAAAAGCAGCCACTTCGATCGGCCAACGCCGAATCCATTGCTAAGTTCTTTTAAAAGGATATCGTTTGCCGTTATAAACTATTCGAAAGACTGACTATCGATAAAGGACTTAAGAACAAGGCAGTTGCCAAGGCTTTCGCTACTAAGTACGAGATCAAAAGGGTCCAAATCTTAAGCTACAATTCAAAAGCTAATAAAATAATTAAGAAAGACTATAAGGACATCTTAAATAGCTTATCGAAAGTCACAAACGGAAGATTTAAAAATTAGGTTCGCAAATTCAATAAAATGCTCTTTGCGATCCGGACATCGATACACGCACTTACTAAAGTCACCCCTTTCTTCTTAAACTACGGACGAAAAGCTAAGCTACCCTTGGAATCACGATAGCTAGTTTAAAGATTACTACTTTAGCAAGAAGTTCGATCCCGCGCTGACTTGCTTGCTATAAGGTTTAAACAATTAAAACTTCGAGATAAAGATATCGACGAGATCATTTTAAAAAAGAAACGCCATCGACTTGCCGCTAAAGCCACCTAGGAACGAGTCAAGGTCTTAAAGTCGGAACCTATTAAAAAAAAAGATCTAGTACTGCTTTACGATATCAAACGCAGCATCGATATATCCGCGGACACTAAGCTAGACTACAAATGGCTAGGACTTTATGTCGTCTTTAAAGCTTACGACAAAAGATACTATAAGCTTTAAGAAACCGATAAGACTGAGCTTAAAGGCACCTTTGCAGCTAACCGCCTTAAGCGATTCTACCGCCGCAACCAAACCCTCTTTCCTTTTGATAAAGACGACGAAGAAAAAGAAAAGGAAAATTCAAGCTCCTTAAACGACTCGGACCTTAGCGAATACGAGCCCTCCGACGACGGCAAAAGTGAACCACTCAACCTAAAAGTGACCCTTGGACCCAGGTCTACCAACTTCCAAATCATTCCTTTAACACTCTCGAAAGAACAAAAACTAGCTTATAAAATTGTTTCTTAGTCTGTTTCCTTTACTTTGTTTTTTCCTACTTTCTTATCCTCTCCTTGTTCTACACCTATTTTATAAAGGGACGTGCTCTTAATGATCACTCTCTTTATTATTAGTAAAGAAGAGTATTTTTTACGTTTGTTCTTTCACCTTTAGACCTGCCTTTTATTATATTCTCTGTTCTTTCTTTATTCCTTTCACCTTACTAGCTATTCACTTGTTTTACATAGATTGTTCCTATTATTTGATTGTTTTTCACTTGTTTAAGCTTACACGGCTATTTCTTATTTCTTATTTAAGACTATTCCTTTGTTTTAAGCGTGCTTAACCACGTATATTCGAAGGTAAACTGCTATTAAAAAGAGTAAGTCTTCCTTACAAATGTACTTATATAAGAAAGCTCCCTCCTCCTTCTTCTTAACATTTTCTTTCTTTATACAATAACAACTACAACAATATTACCACCACCCCTTCTTCACAACCACACAATATCATACCAACATTAACGACCTTAATCATCACTTAATCGATCACCACTACTACCAGCTTTATTCCGCTATCTTATGTTTAGCTCGTAAACCGTAGTTTACGAGTCAAATATGCCTCTTAAGTCAGCCGCCGCCAAAAGAAAGGCCTTTGTCCGGGATGCACTTTTTAGCTTATTAATAAGCGAAGAGCAAGCTGCCTTGGCCCGACAATCGAGTTTCGAACTGAAGTTCGAAAGACGAGTCACTAAGACCTTCGATGAAT